CCCCAAAACCCCAAAACCCCAAAACCCCAGGATTCGTAAAAATTATTGGAATAATATTTTAAATTAATAATACATCTTTCAGATATTTCTTATTGAAATGAATAAGTTATTGTTTCTTGCCAAAATTCAGTAATTTTGGGTAAAACAATAGAAATTAGCTTGTAAATAAGCAATTGATGGTTTAGTTTTACGTATTTAACCCCTAAGTGCATCAGTCTGACTTCCTGAAATGTTAGAACACAATCTTGAAACTTCAGTCAAACGATAAAGCTTAAAATAAAGCAAGATATTTGTCAAAGATGTGATAAGAATTATGGTTTATAGGGTAATCATTCTGGATAACTCGTTCATACTGCAAGCATCAATCTTATTAGATCGAATAAGGTGCTCCTTAATTTGTTCTTCTGTTATGAGGGATAGTTTCTTGCCACAACTGGAGATAAATAAGCAATTGGTAAGGTCTATGGCAAGCATGCTCTCCTCAGGCCGATTCTTTAGCAACTCGAAGTCTTCTTCTGATAAAACAAACTTGTTCAAGCTGAGGGTTCGTATATTTGTTTTTAAGAGTGCTTCAATCGACCAATTGTACTCTGCAAATTTCACATAAGTTGTAGTACGGCCATTGTTCATATTAACAATCCCACTGAATTCTCTTGGTAGTCATTTTGAGAGATAGGAATTGAGAAGTTGGCATTTGCCAGGAAGTTCTCTGAAGCTAAAACTCCTTGACTCTACAAACTGAACATTGTTTTGGATTGACTCTTCCATAAAACCAATAAATTTTTCTCTTTTCGGATATATTTCGATATCACAAAACTTAGTGACGTCGTTAACCTGAGAAAAATATTTTTTCCTTAAATCTGCAAGTGTAGTAGGAGAGCTTGAACCAATAATATCACTTTTAAATTTTTTTATTCCTTGACTATTATTTGATTGATTGCCATTTTTGCCATCAAGGATTGTTGATCTCATATCTTTTAGCTCTTCTTCATCAATTTTAGATAAATTTTTTATACGAGCTGGTAAGAGGGTCTTAAGGACTCATTGTTGGTATATCCTACTCATCAACACCTGCATTCCCTCATCTTTATCAATCTTCTTTCTGAATTCATCTATTGCTTTTTCATTTGCTTCAAATTCCAAGAATTTTTGATTTTCGATAGCATCTGTTACTCTCTTCAAAATCGCAATAAACTCAACCTTAAGTTTTCCAAGTGCTCCATTAAAATCGTTCTGATATTTTAATCTTCTAACAAACTCCTCAGTACTAACAAGAAGAGTGTGAATCTGATCAAGCTGGCATTCCAGTGACTTAACCGGAATAATATGTATCGTATCGCAACAGTAGTGCTGGGCATGTTTGCAAGAGTGGCATAAAGCTTCTTCATGATCTAGACAATATCTAGAAATTTTTTCTTTGCAGTTTTCTAGAGAACAAGTAGTCCGCATTGTTGTCGTTTAAGGTTTAGTAAGTTTGTACGAAAGCATTGATTGATGACTCAAAGGCTAAATATTAAAACCCAAATCCTCTGGTTTAGTCATTTTGTCTTCAGAATCGACCAGTTCCACATTTGCAATTGGTCTGAAAATTGCTGAAAGTTGGAGATTGGTTATGATGCCCAATTAAACCTTTTTAGTAAATTAGCATGAATTTAGAAATGAGATATTCTTGAGCTGTGATGGATTCAGGACCTTGTTTTAGTATTTAGAGGCTGAGTTTGTAAGGAGCTGTGATTGAAGATACAATTCCGACCAGAGAAACATTAAAAGTGGCATGGATTCTCTTAATCCCAGAAAATAATAAAAACGACATAAAGTTTTCTTCAAGCATAAATATTTAACAAAGTAGGAAAATGAAGCTAAGTTCTCAACTTTACATAGAGAGTATATGCAAGTAGTTTTAAATCTTGCTTCAAACGGGAGTCTTTTTGAAGCTTACTATTTATTTTCCTTAAAGTGTATGCTGAAGGATCTCTATTCAAGAAATAATGTTTAAAAGTAGGGTACACCTACTAAACCAATGGGTGTAAGAATACTCTACACGAGCGGGTAAGCTCTGGCTACTTAGAATAAGAAAGACATTAGATGGAAGAGATGGTTGAAGTTAAAATTGTTACTTCCAAAACAAATCAGAAACTATCAGATATCAATGCTGCTGAAATTTTTATTTGACTTGACAAGAATCAGAGAATTGGTGGAAGTACAGTCCAGGTTAATTACACTTTCCCTGATTATTATAAATGATACATTATTAATATTTCTTTTCAAACTTTGCACGTTCTTCACCCCTTATATTAATTGGATAATCATACCCACTTATGCTGGTTGGTCTCAAAATATGCCAAGCTGTGAAGTCTCATTATGACAAGCAGATCGCATAATAAATATGAGTGTTGATAATGTCAAAATCAACGGCACTAAATTCCTATCTTTGAAACTATCTTCAGTATTTATTGATCTTTGGACATCACTAAACTTAATGAACTCGCTTCAAACAATTTTATTTTTCTTGTAGATCTTCACCGATCCCAGATAAATCTCTTTAAGAATAACCATCTTATAGAGTGGGTATGAGCGATATTGTCTTAATAGAAAACTTTGCATGAAATGTGAGTCATTTTCAGGATATAAGCAGTATATATTTTAAATTATCAAAGCTAAATATTCTGTGTCTTGTATGCTCTATGCAATCACATAGTATCTTTCAAGCTTTAATAACACCTAGAAACCTTTTAGTTTCAACTCAAGAATTATAGCTTGAACCTCAATTAAGTCTTCTTTGATGCATAAATGGTTATAAATTTTAGAACAATGAGCAAATACATTATTGGTTGCATGACACTTTTGTTATGTAATTTAGTCTGTTAATTTGATCAAAATAATATATAAAAACTTCCATTATCCTTTGGAGATTTTTACAACTAAAGATTCTTACAATCCATTGAAATAACCTATTGAAGGTAATAAGGTACCTTTAAGGTGTTCCTTCACGCTTTTATCCAATCAGAGAAAACCTCTGACCGCTTCCTGTAAAATCACCTAAGTTTATGCTCTTTGGTCTTTCCATATGTTATGTGGATAACTAAAATGATAATTATCTCTGAGTTTTAGTAAAGTTTAATGAACAAGTATTGAACCATCTTTATTGGAAAATTGATGTAAAGGTGATAAACCTGAACTATAAACTTATTCATGAATAAAGATTATGGCTAAGAAGTAGTACAAATTATAACTTTAAGAGGCTATTTCCTTCGGAATATCAGACTTTTTACAAATAGCAGCATCACGAGGGGGGATCATGAGGTTCTCACTTTGTTCCAGTCCTTTAAGAGGTAGTTTCTTGCCACAGCTTGTATTTTCCACGCAGTTGTACAGGTTTATCTTGAAGCGCTTCTCCTTGGATACAATAGAGAGCCACTCAATATCATTTTTAGATAGAATGAAATTGTTCAGATTAAGAGTGTCTACTTGAGTCTCTATCAACATATTAACTCAGCTCTTGTATTCTGAAAAGTTTACAGAAGTTGCACTTTCGCCGCTGTTCATTGTCAGAAAGCTTCATAATTTGTCTGGCAATCATTTTGACAAGTAGGAATTAAGTAGTTCGCTTTTGGCAGGAAGATTTCGAAAATCGAAACAATCTACTTCTACAAGCTTAACATTATGAGCTCTTGATTCCTTCATAAATTCAATGTGTTCTTTCACTTCGAGGTTTAAAAATAGTTTAGAACTTTTGGTAGTTTTATTAATCCCTGAAAAATGTTTTAACCTTAAACTTTCTAAAGAAGGAGGAGAGTTTGAAGGGACATCATCAACTTTAACATCATCTATATTTTCATCTACACTGCATTGATTGTCTTTCTTTTCTTCTACAATCTTCAATCAATTATCCTCCATTACTCCTTCACCTCTATCAAATAAAGTTTCTGATTCAAACGGAGTAAGGTTCTTAAACACTCACTGCTGATAAATCCTGCTCATCAAAACTTTCATTTCTTCATCATTATCAATCTTGTGTCTGAACTCATTGGCCTCTTTCTCATGCTTCTCAAATGTCAAAAAATTGCCTAGGTCTATATTGGTCTTAACCGTACTCAAAATGACAAGGAATTCATCCTTAAACTTTGTGATGAGGCCAGTAGTTCCTTCGAAAAGTTGTTCCAAGCCCAGCTGCTCTGTGAACCTCTCTAAGTTTACCAGAAGGCTGTAGATATTGTCAAACTGGTACTCCAGTGATTCTGGCTGGATAATCTGAACAGTATCACAGCTGTAGTGCTGATCATGCTTGCAGGAAAATCACAAGGGAACTTTGTGAGTAAGGCAATACTTCACAGATGTTTTTGAACATTGTTTCAAAGAACAAATAGTCCGCATTGTTTTCTGTAAGACTTATTAAGCCAGTAAGAAAGCACTGCTTGATGACTCAAACGCCAAATATTAAAACCCCAAATCCTCTGGTTTAGTCATTTTGTCATCAGAATCGACCAGTTGACCATTTTCAATTGTTTTTGAAAATTGTGGGGTTTTGGGGTTTTGGGGTTTTGGGGTTTTGGGG